GCCTAGACCCTTCATCAGAAAACTGATGAAGGGTCTAGGCCCGAAACGTCAGCCTTCCTGCTCCTATGATGCTGCTTGGCCTGCTGTGTTCATCCGGCTCTACACCTTGTTATCTCAGCTTAGAATTTGGATGGGCTTATTTTGTTCTCTCGTAGGATGTATGCATTGATCGCTAGTTAGCATTTGTTGTCTGTCCATAGTTGTTCTTCCATGGAACAAAATAAAATGCAGCAAAAATAATTTTCAGGGTATTTTGTATTCAAATCTGAATTCACTCCACTTGCTTCCACTAACGTGTTCATTTGTTGGGCCACACCATTTGACCCTGGCTGTATTATTTTCCTAAAGGGATGGAAGATGATCTGAATGCAGCAACTAAAAAATCTCTGGGGGAGAAAGAAAATAGAACAGAGTTGTTTGACTCAGGTGAGTACACTACACCAACATCCATTAATGTGAGAACATGTCAGTTGACTTAACTGGGACATGGAAACAATCGGTAGAGAAGAGAGGCCATTCAGCCCCTCAAGTTTGAGACAATAAGGACTGCAGATGCTGGAAGCCAGAGTCTGTAGGCGTGAGGCTGGAAAAGCACAGTAGGTCTGACAGCATCTGTCAGGAAAGTCAACATTTCGGGCCAAAACCCTTTAGGAGTCCTGACAAACGGTTTCGGCCTGAAACATTAACTTTCCTGCTCCTCTGATGCTGTCTGACCTGCTTAGCTTTGCTTTTCCAGCCTCATACCTACAGCTCCTCGAGTTTGTTCCACTATTCAATGACATTTCGGCTGATCTATCTAACATACCAAGTTTCATCAACAGTCATAAGTTCAAAATTGATAAAAGAACTCAGGAAATCAGATTTGATTGATTGTTTATTTCATACGTATATGTGGACAGCTAGCCTTATCACTGTGAAATGTAAAGCTCTCTCTCAATTACAGATTAATCTAATATTAATAGAAAACATTACAACATTCAAGTTACAATGCCTACACTTCTCTGTTCAGTTGTCTGCTATTACGTGTTGTTTCCAACATTTTTACAGACATTGTCTGTACTTTTCCCAAGGCTGGTTCTTTCTGCTGATAGTGCAGCTCGTATACTTTTCAACTGCCTTTGTGCATCTGTGGTTCTCATTTACATTTACATTAATGACTGAAAGTTTAACCCTTAACTAATTGAAACTAATTCAATTCCTTCACCCTTTAATGTGAGAACATGTCAGCTGACTTGTCTAGAAATGTGCAAAGAATCAGAAGAGCAGACAAACCATTCAGTCCCTCAAATTTATTTCACCGTTCAATGCGATCTTGGCTGATCTGTCTAACATACAAAAGTTGACCAACAGCCACAAGTTCGTTGGTGACGTGGGAAGTCAATCTCTTGATGCCTCGGGCAGAATAGCTATTAGACTTTGCATCATTTCCATTCCTGGTTTAATGAATAAATGGTGTGATACTGAAAACAAAAACAGAAATGGCTAGAAAAAGCTCAGCAGCTCTGACAGCATCTATGGAGAGAAATCAGAATTAACATTTCCGGTCCAGTGACCCTTCATCAGAAAAGGCATGATATTAGACTCTTTATAGAGAAGTACAACTCTGGAAAATTGAATTATTGGATTATAAAACCCATATGATAATCCTTGTAGTCAAGGAAAAAGAAATTTGAAAGAGCTGAACACCACATGCCTCTGCAAACCTTGGTTACAGACATGCACCTCACAGAAGCAGACCATCTGGCCCAACTGGTCAGTGTTTGCATGCATGCTTTGATTTATTGTTGTCACATGTACTGAGATACAGTGAAAAGTATTGTTTTGTGCGCTATGCAGACAAAACATACCTTACACAAGTACTTCAGGGTAAAAGAACAGAATGCAGAATAGTGTTAGAGTTACAGAGCAGGTGCAGAGAAAGATCAACTCTAATAGGAGAGGTCTGTTCATAAGTCTGATAACAGCAGGAAAGGAGCTGTTCTTGCATCTATTGTTACATGTTGTCAAACTTTTGTATCTTTTGCCCGATGGAAGAGGGTGGAAAAGAGTATAACCAGGGTGGGAGCAATCTGCAATTATGCTGGCTGTTTTCCCAAGGCAGTGGGAAGTATAGACAGTCAATGGATGGAAGTTTGGTTTTCACAACTCTAATTTTTTGCAGTCTTGGGCAGAGCAGTTGCCATATGCTTTAGGATGCTTTCTATTGTACGTCTGTAGAAATTGGTAGGAGTCATTGTGAAAAAGCTAAATTTTCTTAGCCTTCTGAGGAAGTAGAGGTGTTGGTGTGCTTTCTTGACTATAACATTGATGTGGGTGTACCAGGACAGATTGTTGGTGATATTTGCTCCACATGAGCCTCTGCTCACCCATTTTTATCTAATCTGATGAGCACATCGTTCTATTCCATTCTCCCTCATATACTTACCCTTAAATATTTCCATAAAATGCATGTTATCTGTCTCTGTTTTCCATGTGGTAGTGAATTCCATATTCTAAACACTGAGTTAGGAATTTCTCCTGAATTCGTGATGTATTCCTGACTACTTTTGGGTAATTTTATTTATGACTTATGAATTTTAGTACTGAACAAGGTGAGGAAGACAGCACCCTAGGCTAGTTTGGCTTTTTTTTAATGTCCCATGTTTTTACTTTGTTCTGGCATCAATGTTGGATGATGCACAACCTATTTAATTTTACTGCAGTGCTTAAAGCATTAACAATATTGCCAAATGCCAGCAAGGAAACTTGTTTCCATGTGAATGATAACAAAACACTGCTGATACTGAAAATCTGAAACAAACAGAATGCTAGAGAAACTCAGTAGGTCTGGCAGTATCTGTGGAGAGAGAAAAACAGAGTTAGCATTTTAAATCTGTGGTGTAACTTCTTCAGAACCAAAAAGTTTTGGAAAGTAGTTTTTTTTTCAATACTTTCCACAAATTCAGAGAAGGAGCAGGAAGGCTGACGTATGGAGGTTCAATGCAGAAAGTCAAAAGTTGTTGTTAACAGTGGAAAAAAAAAGTAAAAAAGGGTGTAATTTAAGGTGATAGGGAGAGAATTAGTATTTGCTAATGTAAACAAAACAAACACTACATATTGAGATAACACAGTGTGGAGCTGGAAGAGTACAGCAGACCAGGCAGCATGAGAGGAGCAGGAAAGTTGACATTTCGAGTTGGGACCCTTTCTCTGACAAACACTACATAGCTATGGGGGAAAAGGGAAAAGGTAAGTAAATGGAGAACAGACATTAAGCGATAAGTTTCTGAACTTACATTCAATGTTGAGACCTCGAGTGCCAGACTCGAAACAAATAATGCTGTTTCTCTCTCCATCTCCATCACCCCCACTCCCCCGACACTTACTGCCATATTTATTGAATTCTAAGGAAGGGTCACCGGACCTGAAACGTTCACTCTGATTTATCGTCACAGATGCTGCCAGACCTGCTGAGCTTTTCCAGCAACTTCCGTTTTTGTTCCAGAACTGTTGAGTTGCTCCGGCATTCTGTGTTTGTCTCCATGCGAGCCCGTTCTTTACGGCGCCCTTACATTTTTTTTTCTGTCTGTTTCCCTTTCCCAAACCCAAACCCAACCAGAAGTAGACAGCTGCGACAAATGGCTGAACTGCAAGAGCGAATTCCTGAAGAAGTACCTCATGAAGGCGCTGGCCGACTTACCGAGCTGCCCTTGCACCTACCCGACCGAAGCGGTGTACAGTGTCGTCAGCGTCCGCGAAGACGGCAAAGGCAGGTTTTTCAGGTGGCGGGACGCGAGCGGGCCCAAGGAGCGCCTCGACATCTACAAACCCAGCTCCAAGTTCTGCATCCGCTCCATGCTGTCCCTGGACAGTGCCACCCTGGCGGCGCAGCACTGTTGCTATGACGACCAGATGCGGCTGATCACGAGAGGCAAGGGAGCGGGGGCGCCGAACCTGATCAGCACGGAGTTCTCGCCCGAGCTTCACTACAAGGTGGACGTGTTGCCATGGATACTGTGCAAAGGGGACTGGAGCCGGTACAACGCCGTGAGGCCGCCCAACAACGGCCTCAACTGCTCCGAGAACCCTCTGGAAGACGACTTCGCGGCCCAGCTGAAGGAAGCGAAAGAGTACTGAAAACAACAAGGGCAGGCAGAGGATGGAGAGAGAGGAAACAAAAAGGACGTTTTTATTTTATTTCAAAATATGGCGATCGCCGCCGCGAGCCCACCTCCGTCTCATTCGCCAACGTTTGGTCGGCAACGCCAGTGAGGTGGTTAGAAACTTCACTGGAATGGTTCTGACATTAGTAACTTACACATACTCTTTCACCTGAAGAAACTAGCTTCAACCCATCAAATGATTGTGCACGGGAGGAAGAAGAAATGCATTTTTAAAATCCTGTCGTCGCCGTCTTTTATGGCCCTGGGCGTTAATGAGAAACGCACTGGTTCTGGCCCCCACCCCCTCATTCTCTGGCTTATTCAGTACGCCCAGCAAATTCAGACTTTCTTTTTTACTCCTCCTTGCTACATCTCTCTTGCCCTCTCTCTCTCTCATTCTCTCCCTCGCCTGTTTTTGCCCACGTTCTGCCCTCTCCTTTCTTTTGCCCTCGATCGTTCTCTTAATCTCCTCGATCTCTACCTTGTTCTTACTCACTCTGAGAATTCCTGGTTCCGGCTTTTCCCGGTTCCACTTCCCACTACGGCAAAGGAAAGCCTGGGCATTCCGGATCACCTTCCAAACAAAAATCCAACGCACCATCAGTGATCTTCGCCTCTCTGATTGACCCCTGCCTTTCTGTGGTTTGTGTGCGGTGAAGAAAGCTAATTGATCAGCGCAGGATTCTCTCAAAATCTGAAGACGAAGTGGATGGCTACAAGTGGGAGGTTGTAGGGAGTTCAAAGGGTCATTGTGGATGGTAATATACAGAAAATTGAATTGCCATCACTGGTTGATGATGATCAATGGGAGCTTCCTGAGTGCAAATTGGCAGTTACATCTCTTGCATTCCAGTAGTTCAAAGTATTTCTTTGGCTGCAAAACACATTTATAGACTCACACAGCACAGATGTTCTGAAATTGTGGTCAGCGGTACAAAAATGCGATTCTTCTGTTGATGTTTCTTTTGCATAGGTTGACTGATTCTGTATCTGTGATAATTCAGTCAGGCTTAGTTTCAAATCGGAACTCACTGTTTACACTTTGAGCTAACGGAGGCGCTTGAAGATTACTTTAACATATGCTGTATACACTGTCTTCAGTCTTGCTTCACCGTGTAATCCAATACTGCTGCAATAGGGCCCAAAAGTAAACAGTGAATTTGTTTGAACTCCCTTTCAGTTAATGTCTGCTTTAAGGAAACCAAACCTCTTTAAACAAGAGTTCACAGCTTTCGATGTGACAAACCAGACAGCTAAATGAGAATTCACACAGTCTCCTGCTTGAATTCAGTCTTTTCCTGGGACTGATAGTTTAGATTCCCTGCCAGTATCAGTCTCCTTTGCCTTCCTGTATGTACAGGCTTCTACATTCCAGGCTTTGGGAAGACAGCAGTTCATATCTTTTCTGCCTTGTCCTGGTGTCCTGCACTGAGGGCATTGTCATGTCTCCTCAACTTTCAATCGATATAAAGAAATACAGGCCGCCTTGTAAGGAGAAAAGATCAAAACATTTTATTTTAAATGAAGCAAGGATACAAAAAGGAAGCAGATGAAATACAAGCCAAGGATGGATCATAAAGAATATTTTGCTCTCAAAACTCAGGTGATGCATGAATACGAATGTGTCGACAAGTTAGAAGTTTAAGAAGTGTGGTACTGAAATGCAGGCATCTTTCAGGATCTGTGTTCCTATCTGTTGTCTTTGACACTGAGCATAGGAGTTGCTAGATGAGTAAAGACCAAATGTCACCTTGTCCTACTTCCTACCAGCCAGGTAGGGCCATGTCAACTCCCCCTCCCACTCCCTGGGCGACATGTCCATCCTGGGCCTCTTCCAGTGTCACAATGACACCACCCGCAAACTGGATGAGCAGCACCTCATATTCCACCTTCGGAGCCTACAACCCAATGCTCTCAATGTGGGCTTTATCAATTTCAAAATCTCCCCACCCCGGCCTCATCCCATGACTAACCCTCCCTCTCATCCCCGCCTCCTTGACCTGACATAACCTGTCCATCTTCTCTCCCACCTATTCGCTCCTCCCACCTCACTGACCAATCCTGACCACTGCCTACCTCACCTATCACCATCCCACTACCTTCCCCAGCCCCACCCCATCTCCCTATTTATTTCAGAGCACCCTTCCCCCTCCCCATTTCTGAAGAAGGGCCCCAACCCGAAACATCAACTTTCCTATTCCTCTGATGCTTCCTGGCCTGTTTTGTTCCTCCAGCTCCACACGGTGTTATCTCTACCAGTCAGGTAGTTGCAGTATACAATAACAATGGATACTTTGTTTGCCATTGACTGTTAACCATTTGGGACATCCTAAGGTTCTTTTCATTCCTTAATCTTTAACAGTGGCAGTCTGTATAAATTAGCCCAAAACAAAATGGGGCTAACTCCAATGATGGAGAGCTTTGGAAATCATTAGTCTATATTCATCTGTTCTTCAGTGCAACCACCATATCACATTGCAAATTATTCACTAACCGTTTCATAAATTATTTTCTGAAAGAAATCTATCTAAGCTTCTTTTACCGTCTCTCAATGGAGTCTGTTCCATGAATTGAGCATAGACCGTCTCTACATTCAAATGTCCCTTCAAAATTTTATCGCAGTATATCAACAGGCTTTGTGAAGGAATGGAATTATTGCTTTTGAACCCATCTCTTTGAAATATTAGGAAATATTTTTGTACCCTCCAGTTTCAAATGCTTTAAAAGCATTGAGCTCCCTAAATCCTCTAAAACATAAAAGGTCTTTCCAATCAAGCATTGTGAGATGATAAAGGACAGAAGGAGGTCATGTAGCCCATAGCAATTGTGTTGTATCACAAGTGGAACTGTCCAATTAGTTACACTCCCCCACTCTTATTCCATAGCTTGGCAAATGTTTTTGTTTCAAGTATTTCTCTAATTGTTTGCAAGTCACTATTGTAAATCCCAATTGGATGGCTACAGTTCAGAGAAGAAAGTGGCTGGCTGGCTTCTCAACTGGGAAACGGTAATTAGAATCAATTTTTTTTTACAGCATACCTGAAGTCACCTGACCATTCACACCTTTCTGACCCCCACCATAATCTGCAGATTAGTCCTTTGCAAGGATGTATGACTGATCAGATAGAATGGTTCAGTCTGGAAAATAAATTCTTTCCTGAAGTGCATGGCAGTGCAGTCAGTCATTTCTTACAAAGAGACAATTACAAATACACCATTTTGAAGACAATGCATGACGCTCAGCATGTGTTTTTTTTTAAATACCTGAATACAAAGGGAGACTGAATCACAGATTGTGGTTCCACAATAGATGCAAACCAGAATTTTCAGTTTAACAGCTTCACCTGACCCCTCTCAGTCAGGAGATTGTTCACTCCAGCTCGAGTTGAGAACGCTAGGGTATAATTACAGCTGATACGTCAGTGCAGTGTGAGTACAGAATTGTCAGAGGTGCACCTTCCATGTGTTGCAGCAAGCCAAGGCTCCACCTGCCCCTTCAAGTGCACAAAAAACATTCCACTGTAGCATTTAAAGAAGAGCAGGAGAACTCTGCTGCTGTCATAGACAATATGTCATTATTCCATTTCTCTGGGTAAAGGAGCTGGTTTTAAATTTTGCTTTAATGAAACTGGGCCCAAATGTAAGAAATTTCTGCCCTGTTTAGCATTTTTATTCAAGCGGCTGAGGATGAAGGATATTAGGGAACTTTCAACTTGTCAAAAAAAATTACCTTATTGCCACAGTGGCTGAGAATTCTCTGTTGACTAAGTCAGCGTGCTTCTGTCAACATGTATCAACATGGTCGATCAAGCTGCAACTTGTATCCATGATTGTCAATATAATTCAACTGAACTCCTTGATTTTGAACGGCAACTGAATCCAGTCTGTAACCAACTACCAGGTATCCATTATTTGTCATGCAAATTATCTGAACCCCTCGATTAGATTCCAGCTGTTAAAAAAAAAATTGGTATCCATTACCCTGTATATAAACCATCTTAATACTTTGATTAAATTCTGGTCTGTAACTCATTCCCACGTATCCATTATTCTGTATATAATCCATCTGAATTTCTTGATTTCTCCAGTCTGTAACCCACATCTAAACTGCTTAATGTGAATCTGAATCATTTAATTATATTCCAATCTGCAAATCAGTCCCAGGTATCTATTTTTCTATATATAAATCATATGAACTACTCAACTTGATTCCAGTTTATGACTCATTCCCAAACATCCATTATTCAAAATGTAATTTATCTGAGACCCCCTCAATTAGATTCTCACACCTTGGTACTTGTCATTTTATCCCCTTGTGTACAATGCTGCTATCTTAGTCATTTCTATTATATTAAAGTATCAATGAGTTATGTAAATTGAGCTTTGGAACCAAGGGACAGTTATTGTGATAGTGTTGACTCTGTTATCTTTCTGTGAATGAATAATCATTCTTTCATCTTGTGCAAATCACATTGCAAAAGTCACTGTTCATTTGGCTACATCCAGCACTGCATTCAGAACTCATCTCCACACCAGTCTCAGAACCACCTCAAGGTCAGAGCCACCTGAGGACAATACTTCAATTACTATCAAAACTGCCATAATGTTATGGATACATCTGACATTGCATCCTTACCTCCACCAAACTCTGATTTATAGGCTTGTGGATTTGATTTGGTACATTGAAGTTGTGGATTATGATCTGATCTCTCCTGGAAAAGTCACATTAAAGGAAGCAATCAGAATATGTTGAGAGCTGTTTTGATTTTGCTGTCATCCTCCATTTTCAATTTTTGACATTCAGTCTTAGGGCTATGCATGTGGACCAAGGGAGAGAATTAGGCCTTTAGTTAAAGATGTATTAAGTGGATTTTTAATTATTTTAAGTGTAAGTGAGCCAAAGAATTAAAGGGATTCTATTTATATCTATTTATAAAAAATTCAGCTCCATTTCATACAGAATTTAACTTTCATTTTTCCACTTAACATGAATTGTGGTCTTGCATGCCACTATTTTATTCTAAAGGTTGTCCTCTGACCTCCAATAGTTCTGTACTTTTCAACTCACTGTTGCAATCTTTATGTCTGGGAGGAGGGAAAGGGAGTGTGCAGAATCTTTCTAAACCCTGTTGGTCTTTATAGGAATATTTCACACTCTGATCTCAGGCAGCATGTATTATGGAATTGGCAAACACTTCTTTTCTTTGATGCTTCTGCTAGCCCTTCTGCAGTGCTCCTTAATACATTCCCACATTCAGTTGCTATAATATCTGAAGGGAAATGGTTGGTTTCCCTCCATTTGCAACTGCCAATAGCAACAAGAGCCTTGCTCCTATGAGCGATTTCTCTCAAGGTTATGCCTTGTCTCCAAGATTATGGAACCTGATTCCAGGACCTGCAGATGGGTCTGATAGATGAATATAATTGCTGTGGATTTATCTCTGAGCTTCCCCTGCTCAATGGAGATCCCCTGATGATCATGTAAGCCAGTCTACAAATACAGTGATGTTTCTGGCACGTGCAGCACTGGGACACGAGGCCAAAATATGTTGACTATGATCCCAAGTCAGCACCTATCCCTGGTCCTGGGCAGGGTGGCAGTAAAAGACACAAGGGCTCAAGAAAGAGCAAATCAAGCACAGTCACTTGGCCCCAGTCCATGATCCCCCACTACGTAATGAAAAATGAGCAGGTGAAGGGCTTAGGAGAGGATAGGATCGGGCTCTGCTATGATGCTCCCCGTCCTCCCTAAATGGTTCTCTTCGGAGCTCACTTCCAAATATACCACATCAAATAATGCAGGATATTAATTAAGAGGGCAGAAGTAATGAAGTCATTTGGCCTTCAGCATAAATACCAGTATTTCCCAGTTTTGATGAAGAGTCACCAGACTCAAAACATTAGCTCTGCTTTCTTCCCAGAGATGCTGCCAGATCCGCAGAGCTTGCCAATAATTTCTGTTTCAGATTTCCAGTATCCACAGTTTTTGGTTTTATTAATTAAATAAATTTGGCTCTGTGTGACTTGTTGGAGTATCGCTTGAGAATTTTATTGCTCCAGAACTGAGGCACTTTACTTTGGATTTTCCATTTTTATTCTGTTGTTATTTGTAAGTTGTGTCCCACTGTTCTCGAGGATTAGTTGCAAACAAAATGCTGCAGAGAGTTTCAATGTTTAAAGAATTCTTTGCATAATGTAAGGACTTAATAGCTTATTGTATTGAGTTTCTTGTACAGTATTTATTGTCTGTGTTTAATGCTAAAGAAATGAGAGTGAAATATTTTACACAATTTAAGATGCACTACTGTGAAACAACTAGTTTCGAAGGGACTTCTACATGAAAGGGAAGCGTAATGTATCATCCATTTTGTCTTTCAATAAAACAAAAGATCAAAAGCAAAATAGGTTGTCATTTCTTTTGAATTTTCTTTCTTCGTTTTCTCCCTCATGTTTGGTTTTGCTGTAATGTGCACTGGACAAAGAATTAACCACTTGAGAATCACAGAGCAAACCTGCAACCTGGCCATTTTCCAGCTCTGTTTGGATTCCTTGCTTGGGCAAGGAAGTTTTAAGCAAGAGAAGGAAACAACGACTTCTGGTCTACTGTGGGCAAAGGCAAGAGTAACATACTGGTATCAAAGAGGTGGAGGATTTAACCCGTCCAAACAAGATCTGGGAAGTGTAGAGGGCATCAACACACACTCACCTCCATATAAGCATATACAAAAACACATAAGAGCACATGTTCACCAAGTGTGGATGTAACTGTTTAAAATAAAAGCAGTGCTGTCACATCAAGGTTTCTGAATCCATAACTGTGCTGAAAAACTGACTGTAATATTGG